TTCAGTGCGTCCAAGAAGCTGTGCTATGGCCATAAAAACATGGCAGAAACAAAGAGGAGCAATTTTCTGGCTGTGCCCTTAAATGAGGCTGCTGTTAAAGTACGATCCTCTTTGTAAGCTGCAATCAGACAAAACAGCTGGAATGTAAACAGTTATCTTGGGCCTGCTCTGGCATGCTAACCAGAAAGGAACATCAATCCTAGATAATGTATAAAACCACTACCAGCCCCAGGTTGTCTACCCTTCAAATTGCCTCATTAGCCAAGCCAGTCTTGGTGAGTAAAGTCCATGTTACTAAGCTCATGCATAACCCATCTCTGCCACCTCAGCCTCTTTGTTCATCGCAAGGGACGTTTCATCCTTATCTGCTTCTGCTTGATCGATAAAGGCTTCTCCCAAGGTGGTCCTTTGCTGAGCATGCACATGAAACAAGAATGTCTTTACGTAATCCTTTGGTCCATTCAGAGAGGTCTGTCCACATACTCCTTCCCCATACCTCCTTTTCATCAGTGTTTCCAGTCGGCCACAGCACATGAATCAGTACAGGCTGCATGGTAACTTGGAGGCCCACAGGTAGGCATTCTCTCACTGGCCAAAAGCTCTCTCTCAAAAGGTGAGTAAGTACCTTCAAAGGATGGCAGAACCTTGCTTTAATATCTTAAGGGTCTGGACACTTTGATTCACCAAGAGGGGCCTGCCAACTCAAAACAGTATCTCTGTCTGCCACTGCCACCTCAAGTACCACGGGATGAGCAGGATCGTGAAAGTCTGCATGGCAGAGCAGTTTACACAACACTGAACCTGCTGCAGAGCCTTCTCTTGTTCTAGGCCTCATCGAAACGAACAGTTTTTAAAATCAATTGATAAACAAGCCAGAGCAACATACTCAAATACAAGAGGGTAACACCCCACAAAACCAGAGCGGCACTGGTCGAAGCGGAGTTTTCAGAGTACTCACTGTTCCCACTGGGCGAGCACTAAGCAACTTCCTCTGAGTTCGTGCACCCAGGGGTGTGGCCTGGGAAGGTTCTTTTCTGGTCAAAGCTCTCACGCACGCGCGTGAGAGAGAGAGACCGACCGACCATTTAAGAGAACAGCGTGCGGCTGTGAATTTTGTTTCCTGCTCCGGAAAAATGCCGCAGAAAATGTTGTGATGAATACAGCTTCCAAGGAGAGTACTATTGGGAAAAATGCAAGTCTACGAGTGGTTTTCTCACTTCAAAAAGATATCCAGGTGACCAGCAAATATGAAGAGATGCTCATGATTACCAGCCAACCTAAAGATGCAAATCAAAATAATGAGAGACCACTGCTGGCCGGCCCGACCACAAAGTGACATGAAACTACCAATGCTGGAGAGGGTGAGTGCGGGCACTGGACCCTCCCACACTGCTGGTGGAACCGCAGGGCTGTGCAACCACGGTGGGAGGTGGTACGGCGCTTCCTCAATCTGAGAACAGAAATACCGTTTGACCTAGCCATCTCTACTTGGCATGAACCCTACAGCACAAAGGAACATAGCACAGGGCTAGATATGCACACCGATGTTTATCATTACAGCACTATTCACAATAGCACGAAGATGGAAACAGCCTAAATGCTCACCAGTGGAAGAATGGCTACACAAACTTTGGTGAACACACACACACACACACACAATGGAATGCTACTTATCACTCAAGAATGATGACGAAACTGAAGCATCTCATGGCATGGATGGATTTGGAGGCTATAATGTTAAGTGAAGTTAGTCAATCACAAAAGAGCAATTATTTTATGAGACCACTGTTCAAATAGAAAAATATCTAGGTAAGAAAATTTTCATACTGAAAGAAACAGACTTGGCTGGTTACCAGAGCTGGGAGAGGTGCAAGGGCAACAGGGTAGAGGGTAAGGGTTGCTAACAAAGGGGGAGGGGAAGATATTGTTCTACAAGACGGGGGAAAGAAAAAATGTCACAAGGGGTGGGCAGGGCAAGCTCTCGAGAAGTTTGATAAATTGTTTAACTTGTTGAATACAAAAATGATCTGATATGTAAACCTCAATTCACAAAAAGTAAAAAAGAAAAAAAAAATTAAGATCCGTACATTGAAACTCATACTCTCAGGTTCCTACTCTGCTAAATTCTGTAAAAACTAGAAGTGCTTCACCTGAAAGAGTGTGGAGATAATTAATCTTGTTTAATATCTTTGGCACAGAAAAGGAAACACACCCAGGGCAGAGAAGTCTGACAAAGTGAAACAAACTTGTGGCCCACCTGGGCTAGACCTGGGCTGTGAACCAAGGCTCTTTCCATCAGTCTGTTAGCACCAAAGCATGAGCACTTCAGTTGTTTGTGCTCCAATGCTTTGTGTGGGGCAAGAGCCATCCACTCACACTTGGTATTTAGTAGAAGTTTTAAGGACACCACCACCAAAACCAGTGAAGAAAACCTCAGTGCCATTGATTCAATGCTGACTCATACATAGCCAGGACAGGACAGAGTAGAACTGTTCTGAGTTCCCAAGACTCCAACTCTTGAGGAGTGTCGAAAGCCCCATCCTCCTCTCAAGGAGCTGGGTGGTTTTCAACTGCTGACCTTGCAATCAGCAGCCCAACGTAGAAGCAGGGCTCCTTCTAAGGCCCAAATTCACCTTAAACCAGTGGGCCCTGCGGTATGGCTCCCAGGTCCAGATGCATTAGAGGCGGGAGATGAGAAACAGGGGAAGGTGCAGAAGCTGCCACAGTAAAAGCAGAAACACACAAGCAAGTGCTCAGAGCTTCGAACAGTCTGATGGTCTCAAGGACAGGCAAAGCTGACATGTCGACAACCCCAGCAATGCACTTTGCAGAATCCCCCTTTACCTGCTACACAAATTCTAGGCAATGGCGTGACGAGGCCATTTTATCACACCTGGATGCTTCCCAAATTGGTGTCACATAGCCACTCAGGATGTTATATAAGAGGATCAAATAGATGAAGAAAGAGATATAAACGAAAGAAGATCCTGGAATGTTAATTTTATCTCACATGATTATTCCCAATAACAGACAGAATTGAATTATTTCCAAATAAATTATATCAAATATTTGCTGGGCTCAATTATTTTCATACTATCATTGGTCCTCTTTTTAACCTCAGGGGAAAATGCTACTTTATTTGTAAAAAAACTTAACTTCTTAATATGATCTTGCTTCTTTTTAAAACAATCTTAGGTTTTAAAGACATAAATAAAAATTTAGAAAGAAATCGAAAAAAATATTTTTTTTCCTTTTTAAAATTTTAGTCCAACGTCTTCTTACAGAAGGGTCACAAGGAAGAGATGAGCCAGGCAGGGTGCAGTATATCACCGAGGAAACATACAACTTTCCTGTACCTCTTTTAATGCTTCCTCCTCCCCCCAACTACCAATGACCCCAATTCTACCTTACAAATCTGGCCAGACCAGAGCAAGTATACTGGTATAGATAAGAGTTCACAACACAGGGAATCCAGGGCAGAATATGAGAGTAGCGACACCAGGAATGAACTGATCACATGATCAACATATAACCCCCTCCCAGGGGAACGAACAACAGAAAAGTTGGTGAAGGGTGGCAGTGGTCGGTGTAAGGCATGGGGGAAAAATTATCAAGGGCTCATGAGGAAGGGAGCGTGGAGGAAGGGGAAAATGAGCTGTTATCAAGGGCTCAAGTAGAAAGAAAATGTTTTCAAAATGATGATGGCAACATATGTACGAAGGAAAGTGCTTGACACAATGGATGGATGGATTGTGATAAGAGTTCTAAGAGGCCCCAATAAAATGATTTCTAAAAATAATAAAAAGCTTAAAATATTTGTCCAAAAAAAGGGCATTTGTCAAACTTAAAAAAAAATTTTTTTTTGTCCCAAATAGAAAAGTTTTTGTTTTTTTAAATTTATTTAGGTGGGCCTGAGCTGTTTCCCAAAGCACCTTGGGGAAGACTGCAAAGCAGATCCCTACATTTTTATCCTGGAGGATGGGCAATAGTAATAGATGGTTTTTAATATGCTGGTGGGCACAGAGCAAACTTTTCTGAAAAGGGCAGTAGGAACCTATGGGTGGGTGTTTATATATCAGATCATTATTTTTACAAAAGATTTTCTACATCAGCTGTTTACCAAAAAATAAAAGCTGTTTAACACAAATACATACACAAACATATGTGAGCTCACTGATCCTCCTAGCAAAAATTACTAGAGATAATTCACTGTGAAATTATTATTTTTTCCCTACAACCCTACTTTATCCCCCCACAGAAAATGTTAGGTCTCCCGATTACTCAACGTAGTTTACTTCCAAGAGACGCAAATATGAAGGACACCTTTTTAAAGTCATTTCCCTCCAACATTTGAAACAGAAATTACCTTCTCCCCTTTCAGTATCAAGTTGTAAATGTTTTCCCCTTCACACGACCAGTCCATTAACTCATGCACAAATGGTCCCCAAATCAGTCGGTTGCAATCTCCACACTGCATCCACACACCCCATTTATACCCCAGTGTTCCCCTTTCCATTCGCCTGGCGGGGGCGGGGGGTGGGTGGGTGTTGTGATTCAAAGGCCAGTCTGATTTGGTGGGGAGGTAAGCTCCGGGAGTGGCTTCTGTTCCACATTAGGAAGGTGACTTAGGACAAGTCTCAGGGGTTCCTGCTTTCAGACCAATCAGTCTGGTCAGTTTTAGGAATGGGTTGTGCTTTCCATCTCTCTCCCATTCCAACAGGAACCCCAAACTTTCTTTTGATATTTAGAGGCACATGTTGATAATCCTACCAACCAAATGCCTCAAAAGAAACCACCCCACTGTATTGTTCTCAGCAGAAGGATAAATAAAATGCTTCCAGTGACGGGAACTGGGCGTGTATGCGCTGCCTCCAAACCAATGTTAGGCCACCCGAGGAGCAGGTTTCCCCACGAGCACTCCCGCAGAGCTGCAAATCCTGGTTGTGTTCCTGTGACTGTACCCACTCTACCATGGAGAAAGTCCAGGCACACTGTCTCACCTCAAACTGTGGGTAGGGGGGAGTCATGGCTGACGGGGGGCCTGGGTTAGGAGGTGGCATCCCTGAAGTGGGTGGGAACAGGCCCAAGGCATTCAGATTTAATCCAGGAATTAAATGTGCTTGAAGCTGCAATGGCAAAAATTGTAAAATTGTAATTTGTAAAATTAAATAATACAATTAAAAAGTCAAATGGAAACAAGCATTTACAAGTGACAAACAGATTATAGCCCCTTATGATCCAATGGGAAATTGTCTTATGATTCAATTTTTTAGAACAGAGCCAATGTACAATGTGGCTGTACATGAGCACAGTTTGCATTTGTTTGTGTTACTTGTTATTTTTCAACTTCTGTGTTGGTGTACCCCTTCCATGACATGCAACTACACTGGAGTTTTCTCAAGGGCAAGGAATATTACCCACCCCACCCCCCTTCTCCTACGCCCAGCTCACAGTGCTGAAACATGTGTGTAACTCTGCATACTGTGACACATGATAAATACCATGGATCTGTACACATTTCTCACAGTAAAGCAAACCAGATACACAGAACTGGCTATTACGGGACCTTTCCTCCTCTGTTAAGATTTGGCCATCAAGGAAGGGTTTAAAGGCTTAAAACCAAAGCCAAGCCCTATGGAAATTAATTCCTTAACCGTGTGCAAGTGCTGCCATTGAAGGCACACCTGCGTGAGCACCAGAGGAAAGGGAGATTCGGGGTTTGTTCAGTTCTACAGCTTGAGGAAGTGGAGGAAGTAACTAAGGCTGGCACTGAGCAATGTTCAGGAAGTCTTTAAAAAACTGTGGAGTTAGTATTACACCCAACTAACAAACTTGGGTAAGCACTTGTTAACAAGGGAGATAGGCAGGCAGCGATGTAGGGTAAAACCATTAGCATTGTTAAAAAAAAACAAACTCAATTATTTATTTCAAGATATAAGATGAACGTGTCCCATCCCATCCATTAATGTCAGCAATTCATGTTAATAGCCTGAGTTGCCCTACTCAGGTTGTTCTGCCATTTTTTTATAGGTGGGCATTACCCTGACTTCACAGATAAGGAAATCAAGGCTTAGCGCTATTATATAATTTGCTAAATCAAGTTATGGCAAAGTTTGTTTTCCCTACTATCTCAGGGTATCTCCAAGGGTGCTAGAAATTGATTAGAAATGTCTTATAATGTTGCCATTAAAAAAATCAGTATTGGACCATTGAAGATATCTTTTAACTATCCATGAAAATAGAGACATGCTCTTTATATTTCAACTAACATTCATGGAAGCAATATCATTTTCATAAGACTCCCTGATTTTCTTCATTATCTCTTCCTCAGCTTTGGCACAGGTTCCAACACTGCCTTTAATGGTAATGGTGCGTTCCAGATTATACAGCGTCAACTCCTGCAATCTGCAGAATGAGAGGGAAAAGAACAGAAATTATAGGAGGAAGACAGTTAATTATTCAGCTGCAGATGGCAATTAAAACCCAACTGGGGAAGCTGGTCAAACACGATGGGAAATAATGAAGACAAGAGTATGTGATGCGCAATACCCCGGAGAGGAAGCGAGACTTCCCCGTCCCACCCTCTCCATAGAGACCACTGGATGCTGACAGTTATTAAGGCCCTGTTTAAACACACGTTATAGCTTGACTACTTAAAACATTTTCACAATTTAACAGTGAAATGCAAAGCAGACGATCGGAGAGAATGATAGTGGTAAGTGGAAACCAAGAACCAGATGCACACAACTCTCTAGAAGGGTATTCTTACCCTACACTAACCAATTCTCAGCATAACTGACATTCTGGTGCAACTGCATTTTCGGGGGGTTCACCAAGCAGAGACGGATAGATTCCAGAAGACAAACCACAAGTCATGTACCTAAAATTAACTTTTTGCCAATGTAGCAAACAGTATAAGTCAATGCACCTTGACTAAACTAAAAAGTGAAGACTACTTAAGACGATCAAAACTGTAATACTGCAGCAGCAGAAGCCCTTGGACCACTCCTGCCTCCCCTGACCTAGGTCCTACTGAAGCTTCACAATCCACTGAGATTACATACCAGACCACAGACACTTGAGCTAAACAAAAGCCCCCAGGACTTAGAAACATTCGCGGAAAATTCCATTATTTCTTCATTCAACTTTTCATCAAATTGAAGCCCCTTATTTGGTTCTACTCTCCTTCACGTTTCTGGGCTGCAGTTCACACTCAAACTCCGAGCAGCAACGTCCCAGGCTAAACTTGAGACCACACAGTTCTATCATCACTCCTTAATGTTCTCACCCTTCCTATGACAAATGTAGACACAATGAAGGTGATTTGACATGAAAGACGTTTAGAATACTACTGTATATACTCCTGTATAAAGCGAGTTTTAAGAACATTTTCTGTGGTAAAATTAGGTGCCTCAGCTGATATTCAGGTTGGCTTATTCTCGGGTGTATACAGTAATTGCTAATCTTAATATGCCTCCACCCAAGTATTCTTTATTACAATTTTTAAATTAGTTGCTTTGAGAACAGATTTTAAAGACACCCCCACCGCTGTGCACGCAGCCCTCTACTTCCTGAGCACAAAATTCCAGACAGAGCAAGATTACTTACCGTATTTAACATTTCATGGTTTTCTTTTTTATTACAACTAAATAGGGCTTTCTGACTTTCTTATCATTTATTCTCCATTGAAAATGTCTTTCTTTACAAACATTTTGCCTCAGTACTTCCCTACAATTCTCTCTCAGTTCATCAATCTCTTCCTATCTTATCTTGTTACGTACTTGGACAGTGAGAAGAGTTGTGTGTCGTCCCCCCCCCCGCCAAAAATAGAAGAGTTGTTTCCAGAAATAGATGAATCTGTTGATACATTGTCAGAACACTTGACTCCTACGTATAGTGTGGTGGCCAGTCTCCTAGATGGCCTCAGTGATGTGCAGTCCCATTCTACACTGAATAAGGTTAAGTTGTGTAAACAGTCTTAGAAAAAATAAGAATGTGGCTTCTCGGCTATGCCATGAATGAAGTCTCTCTTTGGAACGAAGTCAGCTGCCATGTCTCTTGGATCACTCTGCAGCCCTGTGGGGAAGTCCAAGTGGTAAGGACCTGAGATACCCACCAGCAGTCGGCAATGACTTGTCTGTAACATTATGAGGCCCTGAGCCACCACCCATAGAAGTTAGGTGAAATAATAAGAGCTGACTGTCACTTTAATATAATATTTTGGGATAATTTATGGCAATATGAATGTGGTAGTTACATAATCTCCTGTCAACTTACAAAGGGGTGGAGCCTAGCCTGCCAATCATGTCGCAGCTTGATGACCTCATTTGGAGGTGCTATGGATATAAAATAGCTCGCTGGAGGCGAGACACAAAGAGACACTCCCTGTGGGACATTCCTGTTGACAAGCCAGATGGGTCTACACAGATGCAGCCAGAGCTTTGGAGCAGGAGAAGCTGTGTGGAGATGCACATCAGTGCTAAGATGCTTCCACCACCACTGGATCCACAATACTTTCCTGTGAGACTGAAGAGGAACTTATAGACTGGTATTGGGCATATGGGCTAATATCGGACTTATCTGGGCTGGAATGTTTTCTTAATGTACAACTGCTCTTTGATATAAAGTTTTCTCTTACACACAAATGCTTGTCCCTGGATTTGTTTCTCCAGTCAACCCAGACTAACACAATGCATATAGCTAGGAAATACAAATGCAAAACCTCTTTCTCTTGCCTCTTCAGCGGGAACACAGAACCAGAGATGGAGGTTGAATAGCAAGTGTTTCAAGCTAGGCTGAAACAGCTGTCGGGTGAGGGCAGCTACGCCTGCAGTAAGGAGCGTGCCGCTCTCAAACTGGTTTGAAAATGTCCTCACCAAAGACAGCGAGGCAACACTTACGGAGATATTGTGATTTTAGTGTCTGTGTCCTGTTCAATTTTTTTAAGGTTTCTTCCTTCTTTGCCAATAAGCCGTCCTACAAAGTTATTATGGGCTAAAATCTTCAAGGGAATTTCTTCTGTGCTGTAAACAGAAAAACGGCCATGAAATCACAGTAAATAAAACCAAAGTTAATTCAATGAACATTTACTTACTACCTGTCATCCAGAAAACGTTGGCCTTGATATAATTTAAAATTTGTTGACTACTAGCCTATATTATAGCAATGCATAAATGAAGGGGGGGCACGGGGTGAATACTAGGAAATAAATAAACAGAAGTTAAATTTCAAAAACATTCTTCTATCTATGCACTTAAGGAAATGCTTATCATCAATGAAAGATCTAGAAGCTCTATAAAAATACCTTTTACTCAAATCCATACTGATTAACTGTGAAATATGAGAACTCAATGTTACAAATGCAAACCTTTAGTGTACCGTTAGTGTGAAATTTAGGGTACATACCTAGAGATGCCTGCATAACTTACAAGGGTTACACTCTAAGGGAAAGCATTTGGAGGAAGAAGCGGAGTTTTCCCTTTGCATCTTGCATCTTTCTGAATTTCCAAGGCACTTTAAAAATCACCATTGGGTTTAAGTAGATGGTGGGCTTTCCCTTCTTGTGCCTTTATTCTATATATATATAATCAAAAGTATATAATAATTGCATAATATAGCTAAAATACATTTCCTGGATTAAAAATGTGTTGCTTAGGCTCCCTGGCTACATGAAGTGCCTTACACAGGATTCTACTTTTAGTGTAGCACTGTTGTGTACGATATATTTTGGTTCTGCTCAGAGGTCCAATGGAAACGATGTGTGCAACACCCAAATCCATCTCTAGTTTACCCAGTCCCCATCTTCATGCCCTTTCTTCTTCCAGCGCCGGGCTGAGCCCACAAGAATAGGAGCCCTAATGAGCTCTGAGTAAAATGTTAAGTGGAGACTTGGGGCCCCTGTATCAGAAGCCCAATGCTACGATTTAGAGGTGAGCTCTCCATATCCCCTAACCACCTTCTTCCACCTCTAGACTCCTCCCCACCGCCTTTCCCTCCCTCCCTCCCTCAGCTAAGCTCATCTCTCAGCACAAATGAAAACAAAACATCGAGACGTAAAAGCTTGATGCTTCACAACCACATCGCCAAGCAACGCAGCTCACCAGTCCAGAAGTTCCCTTTATGTTTTTTGACAGTTCTCAGGAATTAGGTTATAGAAATCCAAAATAAAATCATCTTTCACAAAACCCACCTCTTTCACAGGTTAACTCTCTTACTCACAATTTTATATCCTGAGCTTCCTTATGCATAATCTCCAGAATAGATCTACACGCGGCAGAAGTGCCTTCGGGAGTTGAAAGGATGGTGACGGGCTTCTCCGCAGCCCCTGCGTTTTCTTTCCGGTGGACATCAATTCTTAGGGGGGCAAAGCAGGGGGGACACGAGAGCGCTGTAAGCATGTGTGCACACGACAGTGTGCAATTATTGATGGCCAAGTCACTGGACTTCTGGAGGAAGTGACTCACTTCCCTCGCAAGCATAGACTCTAGATATCGTCAACATTGATGACCAAAAAAAAAAAAAAAAAGCGTTAATTCCAAGAATAACCTTCTCTCTTTTCCTCAATTCAACCAAGCAAGGACATCTTTACATTCCGCCCAACCTGTATGTGCTTAAGGCTCCTTCTGACGTGCCACAGAACAAACCACACACGCCGAAGAGCTTCGTTTTGGACAAAAGCCTTTATCTTTGCTCTAAAATAAATATGGCAAGGGAGCTGGAGTTGAATCCCACGAGCCAAGTCAACTCCTCATCTCTCTACCTGGTGCCGCAAATAGAGGAATGGAACCCAAGGGAAGGCCAGTATCCTTCAAAGAAAAAAGCACAAGCTGGTGTTCAGGCTCATTAGTATCATATATGTGCCAATTCTAAACATGCAAATATTTTTTAAATAGACAGAATTAAGTATTGGTAAGTGGATGGATACCTGGGCATGTCCATGCTTTTGGTGGGAAAAAGTGTGAGGGCCTATCAAAATAAATTATACTTATTACCTGTAGATACAATAATTCTGCTTCTCATAATTCCTTCTACAGATAATAGCCTCGAAGGTGGGACAAGGTATACAGCACAGTTCCCCACTGCTGACGTTTTGGATCAATGAGTTCCTTGTTGGAAAGTCTATCCCAAGCATTGTTGGGTTTAGCAGCGTCCCAGGTCTCTACCCTTAGTTGCCAATAATGATACCCCTTTGGTGTGATAACGAATGTCTCTATGCATTACCAGGTAATCTCGGGAGACACAATCAACCCTCATTTAGAACCACTAGTATTGAAATGGTCACTGTAGCTCTGTTCACAATAGCTAGAAAGAACACTGGAGTTACCTTTAAAACTCTCATCAGTCAGTGATTCAGAGTGTCCTGGTCGCGCCATGAGTTGCATCAACCTGCCCACTGTGTTGCCCAGCTCCCCCAGCAAGACCCGCGGCCAGGTCCAGGTGATCCTCGGACCCATGTTCTCAGGGAAAAGCACGGAACTGATGAGACGTGTCTGCCGCTTCCAGGTTGCACAGTACAAGTGTCTGGTGATCAAGTACGCTAAGGACATCCGCTACGGCAGTGGCTTGTCAACCCACGACCGGAACACCATGGAGGCGCTGCCTACCTGCCTGCTCCGGGATGTGACCCAGGAGGCCCTGGGCGTAGCGGTCATTGGCATTGATGAAGGGCAGTTTTTCCCCGACATCGTGGAGTTCAGCAAGGCCATGGCCAACGCTGGGAAGACAGTGATTGTGGTTGCCTTGGATGAAACCTTCCAGAAGAAGGCCTTCGAGAGCATCCTGAACCTGGTGCCGCTGGCCGAGAGCATGGTGAAGCTGACTGCCGTGTGCATGGAGTGTTTCCGCGAGGCTGCCTACACCAAGAGGCTGGGTGCAGAGAAGGAGGCGGAGGTGATCGGCGGGGCAGACAAGTACCACTCAGTATGCCGTCTCTGCTACTTCAAGAAGGCTGCCGGGCAGGACAAGGAGAACTGCCCAGTGCCGGGGAGGCTGGGGGAGATGCCGGCCCGGAAGCTCTTTGCCCCCCAGCTTGCCCCACTGAGCCCCTTGCACCAGGGTTTCTCCTGATGGAGTCCTAGGGGTAGGCAGGGGTGAGCTGGACATCGAGACAAAGCTTCCCCTCCCCGTGCCCTACTCTGCCTCAGCTCTTGGGTCCTCTGCAGCTGCCCCACCCGGGACTCCCCTTTCTTTCCAGAGAAGCAGGGCCCCAGCCCTGTGACAGGAGCCCGGGCCTCTTCCCCTCTGCGGCTTCTGCTGTGTGCTGGGGAGCCGGAGCCCCAGCACCTGTTCCTGGAGCTCTCCGCCCCATGGAAAACCACGTCCTCCCTCCACTGCCCTGGGGGGGACAGCCCTCCTGCACTTAGACCAGCGTTCTCCAGGACTTCTGGCCCTTCCCAAGGGGCCTCCTGGGGTGTGGGCCCAGGGCTGCCCTGGACTTTTAAAGTAGGGCTGGGGCTGGGCCGAGACTTTTGCGTTTTTTGTCAAGTGAATGCCTAATATTAAAATGAAAGTTAATTGAAAAAAAAAAAACTCTCATCAGTAAGAGAGGGCTAAATAATCGAACATCCATACAATACAGCACTTTTAAAAGGTGGTAAAATGACAGGTGCCAACATGGTAAGAAATCCTTGCTCTTATGGGGGGGTGGAGCTCAATATATAGTATGGTATTTCTTTTGAACCAAAGGCTATTTATTCTTATACTGATGGGTCTTTAGGTTGTTTCCATTTTCTTTCTATTATGAATAGTGCTGCGATGAACCTGGGTGTGCACACACCTGTTTCTGCTATGACTTTTAATGTCGTTAGGGTACATATAACAAGTACATGGATTACTGGTCATGTGATGATGTGATTCCTCCCCCCACCCCACCCCACCCCGCCCCCAGGTACAAATGTTAGTAAACACAACAAGTCTTGTAAGGGCATATCCCAAAATTAGGAAACATTGAATACTATGAGCCCCTTTGCCCACAGAGGAACCAGAAGATAAAGAGCTACATGATTTGTAGAAGCCACCAAAGTTTCTATTTCAGATTGCTGCATGTTTGCTTGGGTGCTGACGATTTATTTCAGAAGTAAAATCTGTAACTAAAAGTTAGGTCAGGTAGAAATGAAACAAGAGCTACTTAGAAACTACGAGAGGCCCTGTCTGAAAACGCTGTCCCAATCTCAGGAACTATCTTCCTAGTTGCTGTGTTTCAATCCCCAATCACTGTAAATAAGGCCTGTCTTCTGCTAACATGTTAATCTCCCCTTTTACATTTTAGTTTCACCCCTTCATTCTGTAAAGGACTCCTAAACTCTGATCTGCAGGGAGACAGGAATGTTGCTTTGCAGATCGGGGCAGCCCTCTGAGGCCGTTGAAGGATCTAATAATGACTAGTTGCAATGGCAAGAGTTAATTAATCCACTGGCAGAGCTGTGCAAATGAATCATTGGATATAACAAAAATCACTCCCCTTCCTTCTCCATCCCCCACCTTCCTGCCTTAAATAAAACAAAAAGTACAATTTAAAGCACCGAAGCTCTCCCATCAGACAAGGAAATGAGCTTCTAAGGAGCAACGCTAATCTGCCCTGTGATTAAAAATGGAAGCCAGTTTAAAAGTTCCTGCAGGTAAAGGTGGGACAAGAGGGGCAAAAAAGCACTTACTTACGCACTCACTCACTCGTTTATTTATTTGTAATTCCCAAGCTGCATTTGCCCTTCTCATGTAAAACATGGAAACTGCTTAGAAAATACAATGGAAATGACCAGTAAGCCCAGGAAAGGTCGCCTGTGCTTTCTAAAGAGCCAGCGGCGACAACAAAGAGGTGCCATTTGGGCCAAATACAGGGGGACCAACTGAACTTCCCACTTTTGGTGACTGGCACATGCTGCGCATGTTACAAAGTGAAGGTTGGTGACCAGTCTCCTGGTACCATTTCTCCAACACTACAAGCTCACTTCATGCTTCTGGGTTACAAGTTGGTCAACCTTGCAATTTTTCAAACTTTGTCATAATGCTGTTGGTACAACCCAAAACTAAACTCACTGCTTCGAGTTGATTCTAATTCTTTTTTTTTTTTTTATTCTAATTCTTTTTTTTTCTCTCTTTTTTAACATTCTATTAGGGGCTCATACAACTGTTATCCCAATCCATACACACATCAATTGTGTAAAGCACATTTGTACATCGTTTCTCAAAACATTTTCTCTCCATTTAAACCCCCGACATTAGGTCCTCATTTTTCCCCTCCCTCCCCGCTCCCCCCTCCCGCATGAGCCCTTGATAGTTTATAAATGGGTATTTTGTCATATCTTGCCCTGTCCGACGTCTCCCTTCATCCACTTTTTGGTTGTCTGTCCCCCAGAGTTGATTCTAATTCATCGTAACCACATAGGGGTTCTAAGATCTGGAAATCTTGATGGGAACAAACAGCCTCATCTTTCTCCCAGGATGCATTTGAACCAGTGCTAATCAATGTTAGCAGTCCAATGTTTAACCCACAGTCCCCCAGAGCTCTTTAATAAGTAGAGTGTAAACATAACTTTATGAGCACTGGGAAACAAACATTCATGAAGAAGCACCTACATTTTACAAATAAAATCAGGCACACTGACTTAAGCTATAGCTCAACATACGCCCCCCGCCCCCCAATACGATGAGGTTGTAGCAATGATTTCATCTAGGTAACCAGCACCCAACCACCTCCCACTTCAGTGCTTCCAAGCAGAGGCCGAGTCAAAAGTCAATCTGTAGGTGGGGTGGGTGGTCATGAAACCACAACAGTTATTTTGGGTTCTGCACAACAAACGAGCAGGCTGGCTCAACTTGGGCGGTTAATGCCCGTAGGATGACTCAGATCATTCTCTTCAGTTTGTTGTCACAAATCTACAAAGCAAAGGTGTACAGAGCACCCTAGCTCTACTTAAACCAACAACAACAAAACTACTATGCCTTAGTTACTCAGAATACAGATAAAATGAAACTTACTGAATTTAAAAAGGAAAACAATTCAGACATCCACAAGGCCGTGTCCCAACATTTCACAGAGAACGGCACTATTTGCACACAACTTCTTCCCCCTAGTCCACTCACAGGGTCTTCAAAGATATGGTAGCAGTGGCCCCAAAGATGTGCCTGGCAGTGCCTTATAGGACTAGGGGTGGGGAGAGAGTTTATTACCAAGTGCCTAGGGGTCAAAACATCCAAACAATGCACAATAGGATGATTTATAAAGCAAAACTATTGGGAGGCTGATACATACAATGAGCTGAAGTGTGCTGTGCTGCTCTAACCATCACCAAACCTCCCGAGAGCCTTTTGATGACTGGGACGAATTGAGTTACATCGTCACAGACAGTTAAAAATAAAAGCAAAGCTAATATAAGGCATAGATATTCCTAAAAGAAAATAATAACAATAATAATACTTTGGTGTCAGGTAGATACATCAAAAGGACGGTGAGTATAATTCACATATAGTAACTCCACTATCTGACAAATTCCTCCCTCTCATCATCGGCAGTGTGCTCAGCACTGGGGCAAGTAGGGTCAATGAAGGCAACCTTGCTTCTGAGTCCTCCCTCACAGATGACTTCTAACGTCTGCCTGATCTTCCAGGAGTTCCTTTAAAGCCATGTATAAAAATGTTCACTATCCTAAAGAAAGGGCCACTCTAACCACAGCTCAGTCATGGAATGTATTAAACCATATGATGACAACTTTCTCACAAGTCAAATGAGACTTGTTGGGATTGCACACCAAGATTACTTCTACGAGTACTTAAGACAGGCATCGTGGGGGGATAGAAACATCCAGAAGCTGCCCTCCAGTTCAGGAGGACCTCCTCTCATCAGAAGTGGATTTAGCAGTATTTGTTCTCCATTCATGTGTAACGCATTCAGTGTTCCCTTCGAGCTTAAGGCGGAGTCCCAGATTTATATAACATGAAAACCAAGAGATCAAATCACAGGGTTTTCCCAGATTCCAAGTACTGCACAGATGGGACCATAACCGAGCTCAGGACACCAAGCACCAAAACAAGAGACACGGTTGTGAAGATACAAAGGCAAAAACACCCTGGGCCAGACACCCTGGCAATACTTACTTAGACTGGGTCTGTTTGGTGATGTTCCGAATGGTCGCACCTTCCTTTCCTATAATGGCTCCCACAAATTGGGTGGGAACCAGCAGCCGCAGAGGTAAGTCACATGGTTTCTGCTTGGACACGGATCCTGGGGACCCCTGCCTTGATGAGCCCCTCTGCCCAAACCCACGGCGACCTCGAGGCTGCTGGGAGTTGTTCTGGTGGACAGCCATTTCATCTGGGATGTAGGCCACTTTCAATGTGAAGTTTTCTAACTGGAATCCATTCAGTTTGTCTAATGCTCTGAAAATTGATAAAAGGGAGAATGAAAAGAGCAATCAAGCTATACAGTAGCTCTATTAGGAAAGCGCCATCCTCCTCACCCACTCAGAAAGAGAGCGGCCCAAACCTCTGACTGAAGCCGGTAAACAAGTGGTCATGCCAGAACCTGACCCGATTCTGAAGCTTCAAACACACACACATTTTTCATTTCAGCCACACATAGGGGAGGAAAGGGGAGGAGAGGTTTTGCCCTCTAGCAATGAAAAGAGAGTGTTTTAACAATTGAGCAGCCGCTTGATTTAGCTCTTCTTTATTATCTGTGAGGTTAGTAACAATAGCCTCACGGTACCCAGACTGCAAGAGGCACACGAATGGACAGTCCTTGTCCCGGCTAGTCCTCCTGAATCAAAAGGGAAAAGACATGAGAAGCGCAAGCCTCCCATCGTTTTACTCCCCTCAAGCCCCCAGATATTTATTCTCAGCGCCTGCCATGAGCCGAACCCGAGAAAACAGTGGTGGTCTCTGATTTTACAGGTTTATGATCTGATTTCAGAAAGAAAGGTAGGAGTGGTGGTAGAACGAGAGAGAAAAAGTTATTTTCCATCTCATTTACTGATTCATTCATTCCATCTATCTTGGTGTGTGGCTTCCCTTTTGTTTCTTTCTTCAAAAGTTCATTTTTGAACTTTACTATAACACATCAATACCCAATTCTTAACACAGTTCAATGAATAATGAATTGTCACAAGCAGACATCCGCATAAAGTCATCCGGATGCAGACACAGAACATCCTGGCACTCCCAGTACACTCCCCTTCTTCCAGATTTCTACCATCAGACTAACATTGCCTGTTTGGGGATTTTATGTATGAGTCTCTAGACTATAAACTCTCTGACATCTGCCACTTTTATTGTGTCTGTAAGAGCCATCTGAATGGCTGTATTCTAGCTTAACTACATACTGTAAACCAGGCGCACACAGGGTAAACGTTGGCAGAGGTTTCCAAGGCGCACTCCTGAAGACAGGCTTTTCTACCTCCTGCATCCCCAACAAAACGAAACACATACACGAGACTGAAGAGCAGAAAAGGGATGCACCGCCTTCCCCTAGGGTGAGGCAGCTTCTGCCCCAATGGGGCCAAGAGTCAGCCCAAGCAGGATGGAAACACCGCCCTCAAAATCAAGCATCTCACTAGCTCTGCAGTGTGGTCACCCTGGCTCACTTTCGTTATATGGAGGTCTACTTTAAATAGAAAGAATGAAAGTAATTCTTATGGGGAAAATAAAAACCTCCACCAATATGCAAAAGTAATACACAATTGCTCTTTGTCTATCACGAACCTTCCAGCGGCCATTCCTAGAACCAGCAAACTGTGAGACCCTCCAGTTAGGGCTGGTCCTTTCCATACCTTAACCACGTATGCACATGTCAGAACCTTCTTCAAAAGTATAATACCATCACGTGCATAGTTTTATGGCTAATCTTTTTCCTCAAATATATCTGGGAGCCATTGGCATGTGATTCTATGCCATAGGACATTCTTTTTCTAACAGTCAGATAAACCAAACCAAACCTACTGCCACTGCGTGGGCTCCACCCCTAGCAACCCGATACAGGACTTTGAGGACGGCAAATGTCTACGGGACAGACAGCCTCCTTTTAGTAGAGATATACTGCAATGTCCGCCCCTGGTGACAGCTCGTGCTAACCTGCTACTCCTCGCTTCCTGCCAGCTCTTCTCTTAAGGGCTGTGGATTAAGGATTCTAAGATACTTTGGTTATTTCTGCAAGTATGCAATAACTGAAAACTTCTAATATGACCGTGTGCATTTACACAGAAAAGAAGCCCTAGTGGACAGTAGCTAAGTGCTCAGCTACTAAACAAATGGTCCGTCGGTCAAAGCTGCCACTCCCTCCACAGATGAAAGATGTGGCAGGCTGCTTCCATCAAGATTATGACCTTGGCATGTACATATGCAAATATATTTATAATTGAGGATGGGGAAATAGATCTATGTGCATTCGTTTATAGGTTTAGTATTAAGGTAGCAAAAGAACATCGGGCCTCCACTCAAGTACTCCCTCAATGCAAGAATACTTTCTTTTATTAAATTGGCATTCTGTGATGCTCACCTTCCCATCACAACTGCTGAAGACAAAGTGGGGGAATAAGTAAATGTGGTGAATAAAGCTGATGGTGCCCGGCTATCAAAAGATATAGCTTCTGGGGTCTTAAAAGCTTGAAGGTAAACGAGCGGCCATCTAGCTCAGAAGCAAAAAAGCCCACATGGAAGAAGCACACCAGCCAGTGCAATCACCAGGTGTCAAAAGGATCAGGTATCAGGCATCATCAGAACAAAAAATCTTATCATAGTGAATGAGGGGAGGAGTGCAGAGTGGAGACCCAAAGCCCATTTGTAGGCCACTGGACCCTTACAGAAGGGTCCCAGGGAGCAGATGAGTCAGTCAGGATGTGATGTAGCAACGATGAAAAATACAACTTTCCTCTAGTTCCTAAATGCTTCTCCCCCACTATCAGGATCCCAATTCTACCTTGCAAGTCTGGCTAGACCAGAGGATGTACACTGGTACAGATAGGAACTGGAAACACAGGGAATCCAGGTGGATGATCCCTTCAGGACCAGTGGTGTGAGTGGTGATACTGGGAAGGTAAAGGAAGGGTGGGTTGGAAAGGGGGGACCAATTACAAGGATCTACATGTGACCTCCTCCCTGTGGGACGGACAACAGAAAAGTAGGTGAAAGGAGACGTCAGACAAGGCAAGATGACAAAAATTTATAAATTATCAAGTGCTCATGAGGGAGGGGAGAGTGGGGAGGGAGGGGAAAAATGAGGACCTGATGCCAGGGGCTTAAGTGGAGAACAAATGTTTTGAGAATAATGAGGGCAATGAATGTACAAATGTGCTGTACACAACTGATGTATGTATGGACTGTGTTAAGAGTTGCATGAGCCCCTTATAAAATGTTTTAAAAAAATAAATTACCAAGACATAAAAAAATTGAAATTAAAAAACAGAATACATTTAGCTTTAAAAAAAAAAAGGAAAGATGAATCCAGTAAAAGATACAACTATATCTACAGACATAAACAACTATAAAGTTCATTATTATTATCTTTTTCTTCTTATAAAACAGTGTTGCTAGCTCAAGAAGAGAGTAAGTAAACTTTGACTTGGGACTAAAAGAGGAATGTTACAATAAATACTTTCTTTCTTGAGAGACAAACACAGACCACATCCTTCTCCATGGGGAAAAACAGGTAAACATGTACATAACCAGATGTTTCCATATTCTGCACTGTCTAAATAACCACTCCAGTCCCAAGAAATGACTCTCCAGTAGATATAAGCCCCTATTTTGCTGCTTTCCTTTGAGCCAAACCATACCAAGTCCACTGCCATCGAGCTGATTCAGACTCACTGTAGGGCACGGGAAACTTGCTCCCCAGGCTATCAATATTTAGGAGAGCAGAAAAGGCTGTCATCTCCCTCTAGTGGAGCAGCTCTTGTTTGAAGGGCCAGCTCTGTGGCTGCAGCCAGCAGGTAGCCCACCACAGCACGAAGGCTTCATTTTCCTCTGAGGGAGGTTGAAAAAAAAGATTTCTCCCAGGAGTCAGATGACACCAAGCTCTGTTACTAAGTGCACTGTTCCGGCCCCAATGGCTCCAAATTCAGGTTGTAACTCTCAGAGGCAGATAATACACCTCGTAGGTGTTCAAGACTGTACAACTGCCAACCCTGCTGCTCTGACCCTGGACAGAGTTGAAAAGGTCAAGTAGTAACCTAATTATGGTGCAACTGCCTGCTTATGACCAAAGACCCCAAATTCCTAAATTAGACATCAAATGCTGGAGCTGTTGCATGCACAGTTTGACGCTCTGCTGTGTCATTTGGTGGTCTACATAGTTCTTGGGGGAATGTATCTTTTCACCAGCTCTACTTTTAAAATGATCGTTCAATGTCATTATTCAAAACCTATGCAGCCAGTTCCAATTGAACAAGGATGTGTCCCCAACATGTGTTACTTGGGGTCCTATTTTCATTACACTTTTTGCTTTGATATTATTTTAAGAGTCTTTCTAAAAGAGGTGAGCCATTTTGCTAATTAGTAGCATTTAATTTTATTGATAAGAATTTTATTCGAAATTTTTAGAGTCGAAAGGGCTTTGATATAATAGTCGTTCAATTCTCACATTTTGAAGAAACGGGGAAGGATAATTGAAAGAAAGGGGAGGAGGAGGAGGAAGAAATTAAAGCAGGGAAATCAAGAGGTCACCTTCTTGACCTATAAAACAGAAAGACCAAACACATGACCCTCTTTCAAGACTAAAATCCCCTAAGAGCGTCTTTTCCTTATCCCCATATGTCACTGATCGCTTAGCACATGGGACTTTATAAAATGAAGTCTAGCCATTATTTTAAAGTGATGCATTCCAATTTTCCCTCTGCACCAAGAATGAGAGGTTGGTACAAAGAATTCAGCAATAATTAACCAAAGCATGGCAATACCACAGTAGGGATTTTCTTTAAGGAGATCATGAAGGATAAAGTCCAAATATGTACTTATGACGAGCTTCTTACAAAATTGGTTCTAAAGCAAAGTAATTGCAACACTGCATATGGACCACAGAAAAGGGAACTACCGTGCAGAGATCAACTGCAGGTAGTCCCCCCACTGACCACGGAGCTCCAATCCAGTAACCGTCATTAACCTACTGCCACCGAGTCAATTCTGACTCATGGCTACCCTAGAGGGCAGGGAGAACCGCCCCTGGGGTTTCTTAGACTCTAACTCTTTACGGGAGTAGAAAGCCTCATCTTTCTCCTTAAAGTGGCTGGTTTCGAACTGCTGACCTTGCAAATCATGGCCCAAGAGGTAACCATTATATGCCCCTAGAGCTCCATTAACTGTTATTAGTCAATTCTAATAAAAGTCGAATACTTCATCAGTATTTTTGTAAGTCTAATTTTTGAACATCTAACCACTTGAGAATTACA